GAGCTGTATCAAATCTAATCACTACCGCAAATACTACCCAAACAACTGTCTTCTCATCTGGATTGAAAAATAGTATCGGCACGTCAATTTTGTCAATAATCTCAAATACTCCTCCTCAAAACTCTAGAAGTAAGATCAACTCCTACTTGGTTTAGCAACTTACATGGAGATATTTTGCTTTTTTTTAGGTTTGAAAAAAGCAGAATCTCAAATAATTACAATGATCACCGCCATAGTGATGTATACCATGTGCAAAGTTATACATCACTAAACAGTGTAATAAAAAATATTTCAGGCGCAATTCGCGGCTTAAATTAGAATACTTACGTACTTTGATCCTTTCGCTGTGGATGACTCGACAGTGCTCACAGTACCTTCCTCAAATATTGAAACTCATAGATTCGATGTGGCCGTGGGATGTGATCTGGATGTGGTATGGGAGTGGATGTGTGCAGATGTGGGAAAGTCCGTGTGTGAATGTGTAGGTGTGAATATCTGTGGGTGTTGGTGTGAGTATTAATATGAATGAAGAAAAGATCGCTATTCACACCCCACATTCCACACCGACACCTACCTCCTTAAGAGAAGTTTCCTTCCGATGATAGGGTGTGGGAGTGGGGCTGGTGTGTGGGTGGGTGTGAGTGTGGATGTGGGTGTGTAGATGGCTTGGTGTGGGGTGTGAGTGTGGGTGTGTGGATGTGGGTGAAGAGAATACAAATACCCACACCCATACCCACACATCCCACACCCATACCCACACCCACACCATCTGCACCCACACTCACATACCCCACACTCACACATCCACATCCACGCCCACACCCACACCCACACCCAACTTGGTAGTTCTGAAAATTTGCTCTATTTACATCAATATAGTACCATTTTGTAAAATTCGTTTTGATTTCTTCTTTGTTTTTCCTGCTTGATAACAAGTGAAATTGTTTTTATGGTACTAACAACAATACTTTATAGAATTATTGTTTATATTATCTGTATGAAAAAAAACTTTGAATAAACTTTTTTTGCTAACCAAAAAATCAGCCCATTTGATTGATCCAACTCAGATATGTTTCATTTTTTATCATAGTGCTACTTATAGCCCATTCTGTATAAATGAAACTTAAAATTCAAAAGAATTAAAAACTTAGTATAGATTGCTCGGTTAGCAAAATTCGACTACAAAATCAATTCATTTTTAAAAGTTTGGTATGCTTTTTTGAATGTACTTTAAAACAAAGTCGAAAAACAAGTGACATAGATGCATTTCAGGCTCAACATTCAATGTTTCTAATGAGAGGCAACACTGAATTCAAACTATTCGGATAAAATGGAGACATGCATTCACACAAAAACCTATTGATATGTGCTTTTACTCATAAGAATCAAAATGCATCTCTTTTTCTCTAGAATTTGTGATAGTTACTTTGTCTGTCACATGACCTATATAAATAGTATAAAATGGGGAAGGTACATAGAATTTCTGGTAATTAGAGACTAGTGCACGAAGTCAATTCAAGTTTTTAACGTCTTTCTTACTTTTCAACTAGTCAACATTGGAATTTATGAAACACAGGTACAATATAAGAGGAGGAGAAAATAAAACGATAAGGGTTCATGAAAGACAAACAAGTCAACATTTTTACCATTTTTAGGCACTTCAATTCATTTTCATTCCCATTATCAACAAGCAAGTTCAATAAATTTATGCTTATGAGATGAAATGTGATATTTGCCTACGTTTGCGATTTCGTTTATGTACAGTCTGGCTCTAATGAATAAGCCGCTATACCCTACGTTAGTGTCAAACGGGTCAGAACAATTAAACAGTTCATGAACAGAAAACATTAAAAAGTATTATATGAGAATGAAGAAATGAACATTTTCATGAATTAAATACTATGATTTTGATTGAAAATCATTTTTTATTGCATTGACTTCATTCATCTACTCGTTTTATCATTGAAAATGCGATTTGTTTTTGTGCTTTTCATCTGGAAGTCATGAACGAGATAAAATTTTCTTGGTTATTAGACTTCATAGTATGATGTTTACCGTCATGCGATGATAAATTAGTTCCAACAATGATATGCTATTCCTGATTTACAATCGATGTTTAACCAGATGATAGGTTTCTAATAAACTTTATCAAAGAAACGAAGTCGTTGCGCTCTAATTTGCAAAAGAAATTGTTATATGATTTGTTTGAGCTATTAGGATAAATATGCAGAAAAATACAAACTTCCTTCTGATTCTGAATTTTTTTGTTCTTTTGATAAGTTTTGAGATTTCATGCAAAAAATCGAGTTATTCTACGCACGCCTACTATAATGAAGTAGAAAGGTATTTTTGAAAATTTATCATAGAATGTAAAAATTTCTCTATTCTAGTAGTCAGTGTATCTTACTGCAAACTTATTCATTGGATAACAAGTATCATTGCAAAAATGTGTTCGACTTGAGGAAGATAACATTTGTGAAAATGACATTCGAGACGAATATTTTAGTTCTGATCACAAATGAGTGCAGTCGAAGAATCGTAACTTGCTTTCGACCACGAACTTTTTCTGATTCAAAATATAACATAGGTCTTCTCTTGCAATGGTATACTAACAATACTATCAGATTCAGCATGCCTAAGGGGACAAACAGCGTCAAGTGACAACGATATACTAGACAGTCTAAGAACAATTATATGCCCTCAGTCAACTCCCACGTTGACTAAACGATATCTTTTCATAAATATCTCTTTTACATTTTTTTAAAAAGTTTAATTATAGTCATTGTTTTTATTCGATACAATTGTTTCCTTATCAAATGCTTTCACTGAAAAACAAAGAAAGAAATACTGCTATTCTAATATTTGAATGTCGTATTCTGATGCTTGTATATTTTCATGTATATCTTATATACGATTGTTACAATAAGTTAGTCATACTCTCTTTGTTTAAGAAAAAACCAATGGCTAATTACTAAATTATACACTTCTTCTAACATATTCAATTCAAATATCCATTACATATTGTGAATCGTACCTACATGGATTCTGAGTCGACGCAAATAGTAAAGTGAACAGTAAACTTAGACAACTACTCTCGAAACAATGTGAAATTTTCTTTTGTTCTTCATATGAATTATTTTTTTCTATTGAAATAACAAAAGAAAAACGCGCCATGAACGCTTTCCATATAAACTTTTTAAAATTCAAAAACTAAATCTATCTAGAATGATCAACGTGAAACTGAAAAACACGTACCACCGATCAGAAGTTGTCTATATGTATGATTGCATTATACGAACTCGACATGTTTTCTCTTTCAAAAGCAATATATATATATATATAAATAAGTATTTGAATTCTAACTTAGTAATTTGAATTTTTCAGTGCAAGACGATTTATTCTTTTCATAGATAACATATTATACATACATTTAGTGAACTCCTCTATACTTTTCTATCATGAAGTATTGAGTTTTCAGAGAAAACAAATCTCTGTCTATCTTTTTCTGATCTAGATTAATATCAGAAAATATATAATAGGTTAGTTTTTAGTAATAGAACTGTAAAATAACAATCAATGTTATTTGAAATTACCCTATGTAATCAATTATGATAGGATCATTCATTTTCTTATAGGATTCATTGATGAGAACTTTAAACACTCATACATTCCTTTTATTTTGTTAATTTGAACATGTCCCTAGAGGATTTTTACAATATTTTAAGGAATTGTAGAATTTTACAATCGAAATAGTATTGAATCAAGTTTCAATGTCAAATGCATCTACTTTTGTGTTTAATGTTCTGTATGATTCGTGTGATGCATCAAAACAAGTGATAGAATGTGTGGTATACTACATAGTTGTATCGCATAGAAAAGCTAAACTCTTACTTTTTTTTAAAATTTTATAATGAAAGAAAAAATATGAAAATAGATGGACTTGATTCTCTTCACTGATAACATTAGTAATCTATACATGCTTGTATTTTTAAAAGAGAGAAAATTATCTAGTTATTATCGTGTTTATTAAACTAGTCAATGTAACAAGAGTTTCTGATAATTTAAATCTTAAAAATAGAAAAATATTTCTTCTGTTGATCTGCGGTAACATTGAGATATAAGCGAAATAAAAAAAGAATATGACCATTATTTTTGTTAAACTTTTTCTTACTTTAACTTCAATTTATTCCTAGTAGCATACAAGTTCTTTGTTGAAGCTCTCTGTATACTAAGACTAACTGGTGAATCTAATCTAAATTATTGATTAGGAACATATACAATTTCTAATCAATAATCATTTGTAAACTCAGGTATAGATTCTACAGAACAACTAAACAAACTGTTCACTATTTGCTAAGTAGTCATACATGCCTGTTTCTTCTGATAATCGAAATGAAACGGAAAACTTCGGTTGAAACATGTTCTTTTTGTTCAAGAAAACATAATGAGAAAATGCACTAAGCGTGAGCATTTCGTTGATAAATACATAATACGAGTTCAAACGCAGTTTTGATCATAAACTATTTTTCTAAGCGCCCTTCACACGCTTACTTGCATATCTCTAAGTGATTCATAAATTTCACTGACCTCGTGACTTTGTATTCATTTGTAATTGCATTGTTGCAAATTGTTTTTCCATGACTTCAGCAATAGGTTTAGCTACAACCGTTGTTGCTATTGTTGGCGGCTGAGATGTCACTTGCGAGTGTTTCTTTTGTTCGACTGATGGACTTGGCAATGGCACTGGCTCAAGAAGATCGAACTGTGGTTTCAATTCTGTGAGTTGTACAATATGAAGTCCATGGCCAGAATCGAGACAAGATGTGACTTGAAGTTGTCTGGCAGGTAATAAAAGTATTTCATCTTCACTAGTCACGAATGAATGTTTCTTAATATCTTTTGCTGTAGTACACTCTATTTCAAATAAAGTACTGCTTCCAGTTTTCTCAAAAAAATGTTCATTTTCCAAAACTCCAATCGATGATGTACATGATGAAAATCCCCACCAAATAAAAATCTTGCCTAGGGGATAATCAGTCCACAAATTTTCTTTAACTCTTCGAAAAACGGAGCGACGCTTTGATGGAAGACGAGCAAGCGCCGTCAGTACGAGTCGAAAATAGAGAAACCATGGGATTAAATTTTTTCTTTGTTCAGATCGTAAAGTGTCGTTCAGCTTTACGTACAGGGAGTCTTCATGTGGCATCGATTCATAGGTGTAAAGCATTATCGAAGCCGATTCATCAGTTGTTAAGCCATCTTCTGGCTCTTGACAATTCTGTTTGACTACGAATACATTTCGTTCGACTTTAGGCACGATTTTGACAAGAGGTTTCACAGCTTCTTCGAGCGATACAACTGGTAATTTTGCATAACCTTCGATTGGTGCCAACATTCGTTTCGGTAGTGTACCCACATCAGCAAAGCGTAAAGCAGAATTTTTTTCGCTAATATTGCTATCTGCCATTTGAAAATTTTAAATCTAGAACATTTTAAAATAAAAAG